GAAATCATTAATTCTACAAATATTTTAATAATAGTTCAAAATAGTGAAGAAAAATCTCATAATATTACGGAATGTTAAGCATGAGTATGAGTTTTAAGGATGATATATGTAATCTTTATGGAAAAACAGATCATCTATAATTGCCAGTGGATATGATATTGTTGAACTTATCAAGGTTAACATTCAACAAAAAATCATCGTCTACGCCTAAATTTTTTTTACCTTATCAGTCTACTTTACAACTTTAAAATGATAATAGCATACAAATTTTTAAGTTTCCATTGCATCGTTAGTCTACCATATAATCTCAAGATGTTTATTGTAAAAAATGTATATATTTTTAATCATCAGTATAGTTTTGTAAAGCTACAAGAATGAGATCAATGACGTTTTTTTGTTAAAAATTTTCAACAATAGGATAAAAATCTTAGATATGTGATAAATTTCACTCCAGAAAAAATTTCTTCAAGTACAAAGAATGGTTTTACTTGATTTTGAAATCATTTAAATATTGTAATAAACATGATGTTATGATTGATTATTATTTTGATCTACATTGATAATTGATATCAACAAAAGATTTCATGACAATTTTTGAGATAAAAGATGTCTAAGTCAACAAAGCTTTTGATGTATTGGTACTAAAATAGCAATCACTACACAAGTTTTGATAAATTAGACTAGTTATGAGGTGAATTTGTTGTCTTACCTCCTGCGGATGGAGAAAAAATAATATATATGAATATAATAAAATAGAGTTTAGATTTTTGAGTCATTAGTTGTACATCATATGATTAAAATATTGTAAAATACATATATAGAGTAGCATAATTGTGCAAAATATAGATGATCAATAGCATAATTCAACACATATTAATCTAAAGAATCATTGTTGGAATTAAATACACAAAGAAAATAAACCGTTCAATAAGATACATCTTTTCAATTTTTACATTCTTTTGACCATTAAATATGTCATGTAAATCCCTTTGATAAAACTACTAGAAAGATGAGAGTGCTAGAAAATATCCATATACTTGTAGATGAAGGAAATGAGTCTGCAAAATCAACAACATCGGTATAATTTTTGCAAAAATATTTGACCATCATTTTCCGTGTATTTTCACATAAATCTCAACTTATTGATCACCGCTTGTCTCCTTGGATTGAATCATAGCTTCTTCAGTACAATAATGAAGCAAATAATCTCTTCATGCAAGAACAATCTATCTCAACCAAGAATATAATTACATTGTATGATTATATTTTTCATGTTTGGTAATCACATTTTGTGAATCAAAAAAGAATATGTTGATTTGAAATGATGATGAAAACACTATTTGAATTGTTTGAGAGATAAATAAATCTATTCATGAAACTTGGAAATAGACTTAATCATCTTTGATTCGTTAAAATTAAATGCAAAGGTAACTCAAGACAAAAATGATTACAACATATAGTAAATCATCTATATTTGACACGTCAACAATCCATAAGCTGTATTGATTGTGATCGTTGGAAGTCACAAGTTGATGTTTTTTATCTTTGTTAGAAATATTTGCAATATTATTGATCCACAAAGAGTGAAATGTATGATGAGAAAGAAATTTTATAAAATTTCATTTTTTGAAAAAATATATATAAATAAGGAGAATCAATCTAGACAATTTCATCATTGGATTTTGTATCATATTTAAGGTATAGTCTCTTATTTTCTAATGTTACAAGCTTCTAGTAATAATCATGATGAACATGGTTTCTAGATGTACATACAAGAAAACTAGAATGGTTACAAAGAAAAAATGTTGAACATTTAGCGTGTGTGTTTTGTTTGTTTGATATAACAAAAGGTATTATTACATGAAATTTTATGTAAGAGTAGTATGCATTCCTTAATCTTGATTTGAAGGGTATAAAGAGAAATATTTTTCATATTCAGACCTCTCGTGGAGATTCTTGTGATACATTAGCATCAAATATTATCAAGATATTTTGCCCTTGGAATTCGAATCTAACCATATCACTTATAGTTATATCATGCAACCATGTGCTATAGTTATACTTGTAGAGTCATTTAATGTACCAGTGTATGTTGTTGTGGTTTTTCCAATTAAAATAAGCATTGATTATCTATAAAAGATTAAAGATTAAAAGATTATCTCATATGAACCAAGTTGCTAATGCGATAAGCGCCGAATGAGATGATTACTGGTACGGTTTATTATCAAATCTATTGTTATATTAGGTGAACGTTGGCATATGTTGGCTCGATGTTTTGGGGACGATATATATAAATGACAGCCTTTGTACATAGAATGGTATCATACATCTTGGATGAACTCCAAGATACTTCTTATATGCAGGGATTGCAGATGATAGATGAGCTGCATGCGTTCGCTCCTATGACAAAAGACAGAAAAGATCTCTTCGCACTTCCATAATGATATCACATTTGGATATAAGATCAATTTCTTGCTATTATCTAGAGACCTTTGGATACAAGGTATATCCAGATCGAGAGTAATGTACATGGGATGGATCTATTTGGAATGATGAGCGTATGTTCGACTAAGCTCTTACAAACTGGCATGCGAGTCCATCAATACTTGTATGTGGAGCAAGATGAAATTGTAAGAATCATCTCATTAAGTCAAATCACATAGTTGGCGTGACGATATTGATGTCTTACCCGTGTCAGCGATGTAAGAATATGAACAAGGTTTGCCTTCAAACATATATTTGTTAATGAGGATCCAAGATGTTCCTGGGCATGGCGTCATACATGATGATGATTGATTGATGGCCATATTGGAAATACACAAATAGGGTTTAGTATCCCTAAACTCTTGTTATGATCATGGGCTACAATATTCACGTTTGGCATGTTTGTGGAAATATTATGTGTGTTATGATATCCTCAACGATGACCAACCTGCCCATTAACATATACTTTACAGGTTTTGACTTTGTTGGATGATCCACGTGCACATGTGATGACACGCACAATCTATGACACTATATGTAATAGACTTATCAAGCAATATTGTCCTATTCTCGTGCACATCGCCCAGGTTTATCGTTGACAGACCTTCTTCATAAGGAGGTTATTTTATGAGCATATTAACGAGTGGAGAGTCCTTCACATGTCCCTGTGTACAGTATCTTGGATCTACTTCCACACCCTACACCCCTGGACACTCCGCGGCTTTGGCTGCTCTGCTTCTCCTTGTCTTATTGCCATTTCTGGATTCTGTGGACTTCATATGCCTTTCATTCTCTCTGCAAGACTCTTCTCCGATTTACTACTCATCAGGTTTCTGCCGAATTGCTCTTTATCAACCGGATCGTCGAACTTATTGTTAGCAATTGCGCGGTTGACAGCCTCGAAATGCTTGACGAACTTTCTTCCTATAGCCTATGCGGTGTATGCCCTGAAAATGTCATCCATATTCATGTTGTTGTACCTTGTCGGTTGCCCGATTTCATCAGCTGGACTTCTTAGAGGCAGTTAACAAGTTCGCCGCTGAGGCCTCCAGAGTTTCACGCTCTGAAACCTAGCCCAGAAGACATGTGATACGTCGGAGTGCCTTTGAGGAGCAATTAGAAATTCTGGAGACATCTCCAGAATGTCCAGATCCGCTATGCTCATGGTCTCTGAGAGCAATTTAGCATTGTGTATCGCTTCTTCGTTTGCATGCGGGGGAGGTAAGGTAGAGGACACTTCAAGTACATCGTGTTTAAGTTCCATGACTCGCACACTATTTCAGAAATGAGTAGAAAAGTAGAGCATGCTCCAGGGAAGTCCTTTCAGTTGATTCCAAAAGGTCAAAGCCGACCAGCTTGGAAGCCTGACAACTGGGTTGTTGGCTGGCATGCCCGATGCTGCCCTTGCTAGAATCTGCAGAATTAGCCTCAGGAATTTTAAGTCTGGTACGAAAGGAAATTGCTTCAGGACGGTTTTTTGTGCCTACGAATCATTGAAACGAACACAGAGCAATTATGCCTACGAATCATATACGAACACAGAGCAATTCACGACCAGGGACCTCGACAGATTTTATTGGTATGAATCAAGAGTGCTAGCATACAGACATTCGTCTGTGTGATGTTCACATTCGTTCGCTCACTCCTTTTCGACTTCGTCAAATCCACATTCTCATGAGACGTGTTTGTTGCTCAGATGTCGGCACATGACCAGGCCAGTGTAAAAGATTCGAGCAAAATGTGAACACGACAAAACCGAAATGTAGGGTCCTCATAGCATTCAGCGTTAGTCATTTGCCCTATTTTGACGAGACGTGTGCACGGATATGTCAGATGATTAGTATAGGTACAGTACTCACAATATCAAGTGATCGAGATTCCCTTGAAACGTTCTGTACCTCCACAAAATTCAAAACAGTTGCGATTCTGTCCGCTGGATGAACCCTTTAAAATTTACAGAGTACACGTTGCCTAAAATACTAGTGAAATGGCCGTTGCAGTGGCTGGTTTCAGTTTGGAAGCTCCTTATGCAACCGCTGCCTCCTTGCTTCAAAATGAACGGCTTCTCTATCTCTATCTCTCTCGAAAAGGGAAGACATAACAGTACGTGTACTTTGTTCGTGCCTTGACATGAGGACCAATCGTTGGCCCCTGTAAAATGAACGTGTAGAATCGCCAACTTCTTTACAACTGAACTAACGGCCGGAAGTTATCTCGATACACCTCATGCAGAACATGCACTTTTGTTATTATCATATGGAACAATTACTAAAATGAAGAATTGCACTTCACTTGTACAATTAGACTCAGCAGCTTCATCTCTCTCCGGGCAGAGATTGTGTGATTTAAGCTTAGCGAGGGATAAGACTGTATAATTGGTATTAGGGCCATTATCATACGTCATTTGCCATCCCCATTCCTTCATCTTACCATATCAACAACCGCAATTCCGTGAGAGTTATGAGGCATAGAAAGTAACCTAGCAAACCGATGAGTGAGATGACATAAGAACTCGTGGGCAAGTTTACTCCGTTTATATTCACGAACACTTAGGTATTTATACAATTTGGGGGAATGGTGCATCTGAGTTCAAGTCTACAACGTGATGATTGGCTTGATGAATGCCAGCACTGTATCAACCACAATAGTTTTGATCTTCGAATTCCGACTTCAAAGACGAACCACCGGCAAAATGTACAGTTAGGCTTAAAGGAATATGAAACATTTCACCTCCTACGACATACGAGGTGGGCGGGGAGAGAAATATTGTACCACTGACAGTCTCCTTCCCGGCATTCCTACTCCAACTTGCCGTACTAAACCTTCAACTTTCGATAGTCTGAGCCTGCTTGAAATGACCGTTTGCAAATACCTCTTGCTGTGGCCATCCCACTGATTCTTCTTCATTTCCTCAGCAAGGAGGCCAGGTACGGCCGAATGGAATCTCTCGGCAGAGCGATGATCCCAGTTTCTCTATTTGAATAGCACAAGCGCTGATCCTTAACTTCGAGCCGACTCCTCCTCATCCGGCATGATTTCCCTTACTTCCGAGTGCTGAGCACAAACTCAGTCGACGATGTTGAGTTCGATTGTTCCATCTCTAGACCACTAGTGTCTGAATCCATCTGCATGACAACAACAAAAAGTCACGGTCGAGGTCCAGCCACTGGACTTCGTCCTCCTCCTGATCCCAAGGACCTGCAGAGCTTCTCGCTAGAGTCTCAGAGTCTAGAGACTATCAAAGGAGTAGATTTCGACAGATAAGTTCCTGCAGCCACTACACCACTGCCTAGAGGTACTTTCACTCCGACCTCATTAAGAACCAACTCCACACCAGCCAGAGCCCCGAGCAACTGCAGCTCATTCAGGTGGCCGATATGTCCGATTCTGAAGGCCTTTCCAGCTATATCCCCGAGGCCGACTCCCAGACTGAGATTGTACTTCTTCCACGCCAGCTTCACCACATCACCGCTGTCAATGTGTTGCGGTACAAGCACAGATGTAACCGTATCGCTGTACCACATGGGATTTGTAGTGCACAACTTCAGTCCCCAAGCCTTGACAGCCAGACGGGTGGCCTCTCCGAAACGATGGTGCCTGGCGATGACACAGTCCAAACCTTCTTCGAAAATCATATCCAATGCAGCGCGCAAGCCGTAGAGCAACTGAATAGAAGGAGTGTAAGGCCAGTAAGTTCCCGACTTGTAAGCACTGAGGTAGTCACCCCAATCGAAGAACACTCGAAGCGATTTGGCGCTCTTCGCTGCTTCGAGGGCCTTGGGGCTTGCGCAGAGGATGCCCAGGCCGCACGGCATGGAGAGAGCCTTCTGGGAGCCCGTGAGAGCAACGTCTACCTTCCACTCGTCCATTCGAAAGTCGAGCCCGGCGATCGAAGACACAGCGTCGACGAGCAGAAGCGCTGGGTGGCCCACCGAATCCAAAATTCTTCGCATTCCACCGATGTCGTTCGTGACGGCGGTCGAAGTCTCGTTGTGCACAATGCAAACAGCCTTGAACGAGTGGGATCTGTCCGCAGAAATCTTCGATCGGAACTGCTCGAGGTCCACACCGGAGCCCCACTCGAGATCCACCACCTCCACCTCGAAATTCAGGCGAGTCATGCGTCCGATCCACAGATGACTGAATTGCCCCAGCCGGTATGTCAAGATTTTGTCGCCTGGCGAAAGCGTGTTCGTCAAGGCGCTTTCCCATCCGCCGCTTCCAGTTGTAGGAATTATAAAGCACGTTCCCTTGGTCGACTTGAATAAACGCTTCACGTCTGAAATCAAAGCCTTCGAGAAGACAGGAAACGCAGGAGATCGGTGGTCTTCGTTGTTTCTATTCATGGCTTGCATAACCCTCTCGGGGATATTGGTCGGACCTGGAACAAACAAGTGGTTCCTTCCGGGCGCTGGGAAGTACTCGGCCATTTTGCTGATCTTCGAAACAACAAAGCCTCCACAAGTCGGCTTATTTCCAACTCACTATTCGGCAGAATTCAAAGTTACCTCTACTACCTTCTCTCCCCTTCTCGACTTCTCCACTTCTCCCACCGATCAGCAAGATTTCAGCAGCAGCAATTCCAGATTTCTGCTGCTGAAATGGACAGAACAGGTTCTTCAGTGATCAGAAACTTGCGAAACGGTGCCCACGCGGTTGGGAAGCTGCCACCAAGGATCGACAAAATAGGCCGGCTCCCCTGTGGCTGTGTCCCCTGCAAGTTTGAGAGAATTCGCCTTCCGCGAGGCAATCCCCACAGTACCTTACACGCAGAAGTCTCTGCTCTTCGAAGCCGGGCTCGCAGTGGACGACGAATGTTGATGCGTCGAAATGAAGGTGCAGCAGAAGCTGAAGGGAATAAATCTTTGACTCCGGGAGAGGAGACGTCACCACAATAAGTGCAGGGCGTCGAGCGAGCGGGGCATAGAACTGATATATAGAACCGCAACCAAAGATGCCGCCTGCATAACAACGACCGGAAGTGAGCTTATATACAAATATGGCGCCACCTCTTGGCAGAATCACCGCACACAACTACGACACTACTTGAAACCAGTAGAATCCCATCTGCACAATTACAGAGCCTTGAGCGGCGTAGGCGGCACTGCTTCCTGCAAGCTTGGAAAACAGCTATTTGGATGTTTACAGTACACCCCAACCACCTCACCGAATCTATAACGAATTCTCCAACAATTCTGGGGGAGTTCGAGGCCCGGATTCAAAAGAGCATCTCAGTACACGACACGTCATGACTGTGGCCGCGACCGGTCCTCCCCTTCCCTCTCGTATACTCGGCTCGGTGCCTGCCTCATCGAGCACTATTGGACCGTCATGCACCTCTAAAATGGAATTATCAAATCTCAGGCCGTAGAGCAAGCGGCAGCCAGAGCACGTACTCAAGTTTTACTGCCCAGCACGCACTGCTGCTACAACTTGGTTCCTTGGTCGAAGGAGATCGGGGTCGAGAGGACCTTCGAGTCTGTAGCGACGGGGGCCTTGCATGGAGCTCAAGAATCTCCGGTCCGATCATGCATCTGTCCTCCACTCCGACGAGTGCTCGATCAATGTCGCCTTGTTATAGTGGCAGGAAGTAGAACGAGACGAGGAGGAGCCGCGGACGTGGCGTCATGGTCACTTCCGCCTGCACTTTTCCGGCCGCGTCAGCAGAATTGTGGCAAGAAATCACGGCTGTTCAGTGATCAGTGATCACTGAACATTGCGGTCTAATGGTTGTGCACCTCTCAGTCGAGACTTGGATTGTCATGCGTAAAACTCTTTTGAATACGGCACTTTGCCTGAGACCGAATTCTTGAACGTACGGGATGGAACTTGTGAGTAGTGAGTGACCTGGTGAGACAGGTGGATCGACATGTGTTCTGGAACTTCATGATTCCGTTTATAGAACCCAACCGCTGTAGCACCGAAGATGGCATAAGAAAACGCATATGCTGTAACGTATTGCTCCGGGTATTATTCGGTGACTTCGTGCTATTAGGAATTTGCTTTCTGCGCCGCCAAAAGGGTCTTACAACATATTTTAGATAACATTTTAGGCTTCTATTTTTAGAAGCGGAGCGTATATTTCACATATTGCCCCTTTCATTGCCGAGTTTGGGTGTGCAATCTTACATAGAGCTAGCAATTTACTTCAGTATGGGATGCATGCAAAGGAAGATGTAAGTAACCACTTGATACACATTATACTAACTTTTAGTAATATCCAAGTCTTGAGAAGATCTGCGGTTTCACAAAGTAGTTCAACCTAGCTATATATATATATATATAGTAGATTCTCTTGTCCTAATCTAGCCGAGGTATTTACTTGATGGAACTCCATTAGAACCTAAACGGCTAATTGGAAACCTTTGACTTTAGATTTACCCTATGGGATACACGGAAGTTACACATCACGCATGTTTTAGTATCAGGAAATGGAATTGTGAAAACGATACTATCATTGTCATCCATCATTGAATCTCTCTAGTATCAGGAAATGGAATTGTGAAAACGATACTATCATTGTCGTCCATCATTGAATCTCTCAAATCTCCCGTTAGTGCAATCGAATTGGACCCTTCTTCGTTCAAGACTTGACCATTGCACCAAAATTTGTAAAATTTTGGTGCACCCTTCCCTCCCTGTGAATTTCCTCCACAAATTCCACGCCTCCGCTGTTGCTCACTAAGTCAAATTTTTGACAGCCCAAAATCCAAAACCTTTGTGCGCTTGTCACAATGTCTATCATAGTTCACTATTTTGTGATTTGCCATTACAGAGGTCCACTAAAGTTTGCATATGATGTGAGTTTAGTGTACCTTGTGAACACCTTGTAGAAGCTCACCACGGTGTGCCGTCTAAAGGTTTCATCGGATAACACAAATCTTGATGGATACCATCAAACAATTTAGGTTCGGATGGGATCTCATCAAGTAAATAACTCCAAGGTAAGCATATGCTATTCAGATTGCAATAAGTAAATACAATGAACATATTTACACTCAAGATCAGGCCTGCTAAATTTTGATTTTCTGTTTTTGGATGTCAAATCAATCTGACAAATTTCCCGTAATTCATCTGGCCAAAATTCCATACACCATAAGAAATTTTGGCCAATGGCTAGGGAACTCTAGGAGTAGTAGGAAATTCGGGTAATAATGCATGTTTCTGAAACAGTCCATGAGTGCATGCGCTTGACTTTGCATGTTACTTGTGGATCGAAGTTGGGAAAAAAAATAGAAGAAGGAAGAATAATAATCAGAAGTGGAGAGGAAGTTGCGCACAAAAACAGAGAAGAAGTATAAAAATTGCAGTTCTTGTACATTTCATATATATTTCCCATTTTCTTATTTTCATTTCATGTCTGTAACATGTTTGTTTTGATCATTTTCTTGGCTGGAACAAAAAGTTCCAAGTACATTTCATATATATTTTTTACTTTCATATCATGTGTATAGCATGTTTGTTTTGATCACTATGAATGTTTTTTTAGGTTAGATTATAAATCACGGGTACATTTCATATATTTTTTTATTCATTCAACGTTTTCAAATACGGCTTCTTTATGATCAAATGGGAAAAAATGACTTTAGCACCAACCTTTCTTAATTTCAATTTTTTGAGGGTACATCAATCCTAGTTGTCAGCCTAATTTCACCCCGGACCTGCAATACAGGGAGAGGGCAGGCAATTATCTCCAACAGGCCTTCATTAAGTACATGAAACTACATGACATGGTTAGACTTTTTCACGTAGTAAACCTTGTTTGAAATCTTCAAACATACGTATTTTGTGTTTTATTTGCATTTAACCAACTATAATACGAGCCTTTTCTTGGCGTGTATCATGCATGCAAAGCAATTCAAAACGATTATCACTAAATTATCAAACAAAAAATAGTGAAATGTCAAAAAATGACAAAAAAAAATTTACTCTTTGATCATAAATTAAAATGTGTATTTTCATGCAGAATTTACATCCACAATAATCTAAAGCTTTTCATTGAATTTGATCATTTTTATATTCTGAATCTCATCTAGTTTATTTTTTTGATAAGAGTATAGACTCATGTACACTGGATTGATCTTGCATGGAACTTTTTTTCCCTCACATCATGTATAATTTTTAAACCTATGACATCTAACCTATGCTTAGACATATTGTCTGAGCTTAGGTCAAATGTAATGATGCCATTAATATGAATATATTATGATAGATGAAATTAGTTCATATATTTTGATGGTGTATTGACAATTAGACTTACCTAGTGAGAATCATTTTCCATTATGATGTTATGTATACAAGGCCAAAGTTTTTATCCGGTTTTTTTTCACAAGTGATGACAAGTTAATTATAAACTTGTTTAAAAAATTGAAATTTTTTATTTTTTTAATAAAAAAATTTATTTAAAAAAATCTATTATATATGATCTAAATTTGTATTAGCAGTCACGCGGGCAACAAAGTATTTTAATTAAATGTTATATCTTATAGAAGCTATCATTCACGTAAATATACGATGTTTATGGGTCGGACTTGATTATTACACGCACATGTAACATAGTCTTAGATGGGGGTAATCATCTTGCATAGGCCGAGTGAATGAACTACAAAGTTCAAGGGTAGGAAGAGACATATTCTATTTTTGTAATTAGATGAATTTAGGGAAATGTTAAACGTAATATTAATTGTGCAATCCATAGTATGTGATCAAGTTAAGCCATGATTATTTGGATGCTTTAATTATTTGTTGATATTTTCACATAGATACTTGAGTTGTACGTGCTACGGTATTTATAATATATTGTCCTGCCATTGGGCCTACTTTCATGTTGCTGCTTGGTTACTCACTTGTACGACTCGATGTCTCCTTCTCTTCCTTTTAGCTATTTACCTACTTTCCCTTTTCGTATAAAACTAGCTGTCCGTCTATTTTCGTTCGACGGACACCACTCATTTATCGTAATGTACAAGGTACAAATCAGTTCATACCAACCTGACAGGTCAACTGGTGGTGGTTACCGGAATTCGTTTCTACGGTAGCCATAAATAAGGCCAATGATTTTCAGAAAGGCGGAGGACGCCTTTCGCCGCATATAGTGTAGATGGTGACTGAATATGTAAAAACTATAGTAATTATGCTTAACACAGAAATGGGCAGTTGGAAGAAGAAATCAAACTTACACATCTCCAGTAGATTTTAAGAACTATTTCATAATCTGAGAATTATTCAAGAAGTTAACCAAAACCACATGATGATTCCAAGATATTGATCATTTCGGATACATCTCTCAAGAGCACGATTACTCACGAGAGGGAAGGCGAAGTAATTATGACAAGTCGATTGTGAACCCAATACCATATTTGAATTCCAACATCCTTTCTTCCACTATCTACTGAATCTAATGATTATTCAACATTTTTATAATTGGTGTATATTATGGAATTATATATACAGTGTTTGAATTTCTGTATTAAAATTATTTTATATTATTAAAAATATTATATTTTAATATTTTAATTTACATATGTAGATTATTGCAACTATGTGTCATACTGAACATATTGAAGATGTATATACGTAAAAAATATAGTAATAATATTTAAATTTATGCATTTTATAAATTATTTTTAATCTTAAGCTTCAAAAAAAAATTATGATATTTTAATTTTCATTGATCAATTCTTAACAACCATTCATTTTGATGATGATGCCTACGTAAGGTCAAAAACTCAAAAGTATCCTCAGTTTTTAACAACATTAATGAACATGTTACATTAATTTATACATATTGCATGTAATGAAATATAAACTCATACGTATAAATGTTATAATTTCACACCTAACGAGCAGTAGTAAATCTCTAAATTTTGTTGATGAAATTAACCAAAGTATGCTACTTGAGTTAGTTACATGATACATCAAATCATCCTGGCAATAAAAATGAAGTAGTAAAAAAACATTCTGGAAAGAAGACTAACAAATATTTAATATTATATTTAATATTTACATCGAAAGATAACATTTAGGTTTTCTGTTAGTACGAAACATCACAGAAAGTCGGTATTTGCTAGTTTGGAGCATATTTCGCAGGATTCATAATATTTATTCATTCTTGCATGATATTTATTACCCTGTGCAGTTGTTATCTCAGTTCGATCCTTTCCTCCAGGATTGTTTTGAAATACTTGTGCATATCTAAGCAGTTATTAGCAGATAAATAAAGAATTTTTTATTTCCTTATATATTTAAGGTGTTTTTCTAACCATTTTTATTTATTTATTGGCCCTCTCATCATAAAATCGAATATTGATATATTAATAAAGTTTTATTAGGCACGCTTCAATTATGAGTGACTAGAAAATGTGATAAAGATGCATTTGTAAATAGGTTCATGCACTTACCAAATGAGGATAGCCAGCATTACGTAGTTGAAAACTGAGTGGAGTTGACTCTAACCGCACCTATGGCGGAAAATAGAAGGAAGAAGTGTAACCAAGTAGATCACGCTACAACCTAAGAGTTCTCACTTTCCAACAACTGGAGCTGTTGCATGCATGGACCAGATAACCATGTGACTCATCTCAGAACTCCTACTACGTCTACACCGATATGTACCATGGAGAGCACAAGCGCTCTTCCTCCCACGTTAGCTCCAAATGTCAGTCTTCCCTTCTTGGAATTTCGTTATAATCGCCACTGACGTGTTTTCCAACTCCTTTGAGTCGGCTG